AAAGTGAATCTCATTTTTTTTGTAATTTCTATTTTGTTATAATGTATTTGGACCTACATAAGTGTTTTGGCTATATGGTCATTTGGTTATATCACATTATGGGAAGGCTTTTATATATTTTATGGTTTTTCTTCAAATAAGAATCTTCGAAGCCCTTCATCTGGAAGCATGTTATAGTATAGATATTTTTGTTTTGGAAGCATGCTATATGAGTCGCAAATGGTTATATGTGTACGAAGTTTGTTACAGATCTTGTATTTTGTATCAATACGTATCAATCATATTTTGTGGTATCGTTCTGTTCTAAAACTAGTGCTATTCGATAATTTGTGATATTTGGTTGATGCGTAATAGTCTATATATGTCACATGTGTGAGGTTCTACAGTATCCGATGTTATGTTTTGATATTAGATGTTATGTTTTATGTATAAGGGTCGATGTCGTTGCATAGAAAAACTATAAGTATTAACTTCTGTTGTAGAGCTATAATATGATAGAAAAATTACAGACTTTATCTATTTTCTATATATACAAAGACAATAAAGAGCTATACTTTAGCAATAAAGAGCTACGTTTCTGTTATAAAGACCTATACAATTATATAAGGAGCTACACTTTACAAATAAGGTGTTATGTTTTGACATAAAATGCTATACTTTACTTAGAAATTGTATAAATGAGAGTGAACATGTCAGTTATAAAGAATTGAACAAACTATATACATGGTCAACCATTTTTATTGATCAAAAAATTATCGACTTGATTTATTTTCTGCATTTTCAGAGATAATAAAGAGCTATACTTAATAATAAAGAGCAATATTTTGCTATAAAGAGTTTATTGACTTGGTTTATCTTCTGCATTTTCAAAGAAAATAAAGAGCTATACTTAGTAATAAAGAGCAATATTTCTGTTATAAAGAGTTATACAATTGTAAAAGGAGCTACACTTTGCAAATAAGATGTTATGCTTTAGCACATAGTGCTATACTTTGCTCGGATATTGTATAAATGAGAGTGAGCCTGTTGATTATAAGGAATTGAATAAACAACACACTATATACATGATCACCCATTTTATTAATCAAAAAAATTACTGACTTGATTTATTTTCTTCATTTCCAGAGATAATAAAAAGCTACACTTTAGTCATAAAGAGCTACATTTTTGCTATAAAGAGCTATGCAATTGTATAAGGAGCTATATTTTGCAAAATAGGGTGCTACGTTTTAGCATAAAGTGCTACAATGTGCTCAGACATTATATTAATGAGAGTGAACTTATCAGTTATAACAAATTGAACAGATAACACACTATATACATTGTCACCCATTTTCATTGATTAGAAAATTACTGACTCGATTTCTTCTGCATTTTTAGAGATAGTACAAAGCTACACTTTAGCCATAAATAGCTAAACTTTTGCTATAAAGAGTTATACAACTGAATAAGGAGCTACACTTTGCAAATAATGTGCTACACTTTGGTATAAAATGCTACAATTTGCTTAGATATTGTATAAATGAGAGTGAACCTGTTAGTTATAACAAATTGAACAAACAACACACTATATACATGGTCACCCATTTTCATTGACCAAAAAATTACTAACTTGGATTTATTTTCTGCATATTCAAAGATAATAAAGAGCTATACTTTAGCTATAAAGAACTATACAAATGAATATGGAGCTACGCTTTGCAAATCAGGTGCTACGCTTTGGCATAAAATGCTATGCTTTGCTTGACTAGTCAATAAGCAACATTTGATTAAATAACACATTATATACATGGCCACCCATTTTTATTGTTCATAACTCGCAATCACCGCATTCCGCAAAACCAATACCAATCTCTTCTCAGACATTTCATCAAACACCTGTAGTGCCTCATCAACCAACCTCAATCGCAGATAAGCACTAATCGTTGTGGTCCAAATGACTTTATCTCTCTTTGTCATTCCATCAACCACCTTCCATGCATCAAGCTTGTCAGCAAAAAACTTCAACATGTCTCAACATAATTTTTCTGAATGTCTCTGTATCCCATAGCCCATTCTTCATTGGGCCAGGATTTATTCACGAGCACAAAGAAGAAAGCAGAGAGGACATAGACCCATTGCTAAGAGTACTATTTGATGCTATTGTTTGGTCGTAGTGAGAAAACCTTCTTTCATTGAAGGATATTGGCTAATAGGTTGTGAGTTGAGTTAAGAGTGAAGAGGGTGTCATCTAGTTCATAGGTGACAAGTTTAATTTTGAGGGAGGTGGTGTGGGTGCGGGTTTAGCAGTGTTGAGGGTTAGAGGGGAAGTGGTGGAGCATGAGGAGGTTTATCCCACTAGAGGAGGGAGAAGAGAGGACAAGAGTTCACTGAGAACTGAGTTGAGAGGAGGAGAAAATGAGAAAGACAAAAGGGTATTTTTGGGTAGATACAGAGTACAAATGCCTTGTATTTAATACTTTGGGTTTAAAAATAAGTTAGGTGGGGATTATTGGGTGTACGAGTGGTTATAAGAATGGGTGGGTTTTTAAATAAGTTAGAGTAAAACTTTGGGTTAAAAGACAAAAACCCCTAAATAAAATAGGATGGTGTAAAGTGATACCACCCTCTTAATAATTACAAAGTGACACCACTTAAAATAATGTCCAAAAACGTGGGATAATTATGATTTAATTACAAAGTGACACCATTTAAAACAATGAGACCTTGCACAACCCTAAATAAAGTAATCTTGTATAAAGATGACTCATTAATGTAAAAGGACCAATTACAGATACCATATGTCACAGAACATCAGTTTCTTAAGAAGAAAAAAGATGATAAAGTGGAGAACCATGACTCAGTAACTTACATTGAGAATAGTGGCAGATCCACCACGGTGGAAGGGGTGTCACGTGACCACTTCCTCCAAGGGGTTCCTTATGTGCACATGGGTTAAGTTGAGATTTTGTGAAGCTCTAATTTGCATATCCATACCATCATGTAAGCTGCCGTCACCGTTTAGCATCATCAATCACGTAGGACCATCAACTATATGGGGGTATACGCTTTTGATATGCCAAACCGAATTACTGAAATTCCTTTATTGGCTGTATGCCATTGGTTGAGTTACTAAAGTGGGATTATGTGTTTGGTATTGTTATTAATGATGCATTTGATAGCGTTATTAATGACATGATTATGTAGTTCTTTTCAAAATATGAAAACTAATCAAAGGTAGTTGTAAAGTTTTTCAGCTAGTAACAATTATTTGGTGACACCACTTTCCAAAAATCCTGGATCCGCCACCGATTGATAAAGATGTAGTTAGTGGTATTTCGAATACTATTATGCAACAATTGGTCAAATTGCAATTATAGGTAGTTATATGTATTTGTATCCCATGGAAGTTTCAAATTTTTTGAATTTGAGAGAAAAATTAGAAATATCAGTTTTTTCACATATTGTGACACCACTATTTTAAATTCCTGGCTCTGCCACTGTTCCTGAGCCCAATTTTCAGAAATATCAGGTATAGTTGGGTTGCTATCCTTCTCTTGCAGGATTTCTAGAGTTTTGTTGTATTTCTGGTACATGTTTCATCTTGGCTAAGTAGGAAACAGCTCCCTATGATCAGGTAGGAGGTGAGGTGTCCATTTTTGCGGAGGCTTACTGCAAGCTCTTTTCTTTGTCCATGTATGTTAATCATCACAGTTAACTTAAGTAGGCTATGGTTGTTAGATCTGGACGGAATGCAGTTTCATCTGTCCTTTTTATGATTCCCAAATTTTACTGTTATCATCGTCAGGATCACCATTGTTGAGCTTCAAGATTCTCAGAATGTGACTTCAACCATGTGCATGCCTTGATATTTTGTCGCAAACTTTGCCTCATACCCCCCCACCCCCTACCCCGGCAGAAGAACATCTGTACTTTATGTGGTAGAAATAGCTATCATGGACTCAGTTTGCCACCCTTCTCGTTGATGTCCATTTCTTACTGATCACTCGTGGCATATTGTGCTCTACTAGAAACAACAGGTTTCTTTCTCCTGGCGCTTTAGCTGATATAACAACTTCAGCTTAATAGTGGTGATGCTTACCCACCCTGCAAGGTGAAGTGTGGGTAATTTGCAAATTAAATTCCGTACTGTCAGCAACTGTCACAGTGCAGTTGTATGTCATAAAGGTAGATTGCATGGCATGTTAGAACAACATACATCAGTGCTTTAATGTTGTGTTACCCAGGTACTTCAAATTTTAAGTTTTGATGCATTGGACACAGAAAGATGGTCACTACTACCATTCCATTGCAGTGCTAGTCTGCTAGAGCTTATCTGTTTGAGATTTCTAGTGTAGATTGTATTGAGATACCATTTTAGTTCATTTCATTAAAAAGATCAACTGGTTGACTAAATTATGACGTGCGCAAATAAATATATAATTGCACGCATGTGTATGAACATAGGCATTTCTCCATATTGGTTTTTCTGACTATTCTCATGTCAGAGACTTGGACATTTTGACAGGGTGAGAGGTGCTTGCTGACGTTGTTGATAAATGGAGTTTGCTTGTCAAATTATTAGATGGTCCTTGATCTGGGCATTGTCTTTCGTAAAAAAAAAAATCCTATAGGAAAATTATATTGGGAGGAAAGAGATTGTGACGTGTCCCAATACAGATCTAAAGTTGGTGATTGCATTGATATAATTTCACTAATGCAATATTGGTATTGCACTGGCTGATACATTATCTGATTACATTGATATTTGTATAGATACCTCTCACTATCTCCTTTCTCACTATTTTTATATATGGTGTCCTCTATAGGATTTTTTCTTGATAATATCGCCAGTTGACTAAGAGCGTGCATATATCATGGATAGTTTACGTCTGATTATTATTATTTTTGAATACTGGAAGTCTGAAACATAGCTTGTCTATAACACAGTATTGGGATAAAGATTTAATAGAACATACTAAACTGTTATAAATTTATCTTTGTTATCTTGCCTTTTGCAGCTTTACTCGAGGGATTCATCAAAAGGTTGGCGTCAGTCAGGATCAGATGGAACGAGCCAGTTGACCTTGAAGGAGCCCTCAGCCAATGCAGTACTTTTGGACTACATCGCCTCCGAGAAGTGGCAAGAAGTAGTTGATTTTGATGATCATCTTGATGACATTAGCAAGTAAGTTCATTTTGTTTTAGTATCGTGCTATACTGCTTTTCAAGATATGTAACCCTTTTGCTGTCATATTTTGCAGGGATTGGTTGAATCCTGATCTCTTCAAGTAGGCCTTTCGGTAGTTTGTTCCTTATTGTCAGAATTTTTTTTAAAAAATTGTATGTTTGCAAATTGCAGATAATTTACTCCAGCTACTTTTTTGTGACGGAAAATTGACTGCTACTGTTGAACTTGATAAGGGTTTACTTCATGAGTATTTAAAATAGGAAAGTGTAACAGTGATACAAGAATAAGAGTAAACTTATTTTTTTTTCTCTAGTTGATGAATGATCATTATGTTCATTTCGGGGGTACTAACTACTTATTTCCTGTCAAAATTATAGAAATTTTTGTACAATGTTAAATAGAAGTATTTTTCAGAGTGTTGTTACGTGCAAGTTTGGTGAACAGTACAATTTGTTGCTGTAGACTTGTAGTTGATTGTAACACACATCTTCGAAACAACATTTTATTTGCTCAGTTTTATGTATTCTAGTTGTCTATACATGCCTTTGCAATTACTAAATGTCTTAAAATCATTTACCGGAGCATTATCATGAAGTAATTTTGTGCGATCGTCAGAGGTACCATTGTAGCTTAGGAACAACTGTGTTTCGCATCGACTCCTGCAGTTTACATAAGAATGTGCTAGCTTGTTAAATGTATGAAAAAGTTGAAGCTTAAGGCATTATTTCAGCTTGGCGACAATTTTTTGTGTAAACTGTGGCGAAAAAGTCAGCGAAATTGCTTGAATGCTAAGATTTTCTCATCAAAGATGCTAGCTCTGCCGTTGTCCAAGCCTAAGAAAGTAAACACAAATGACGGGCTCACATTTCTGTTTTGTTACCATGGATTCTACTTGTGTATAAAATTTTTTTCCAACTCCTTGGGAAGTCTGGCTTTATGTAGGTAATGATTTATTTCATGCAGAATAATTATTTCTTACTATTTTGGAAAAATAAAATTTAAGCATTTATATATATAATGGTACGTAAATTGAAAAATGAAAATGAGTGAAACCATTTTACAAAGTCATACACTCCATGCGGATAGGGATGGATGATAGGTTGATGATTCCTTGTTATTACTTATTATTGTACCCATCATCTCATCAAAATTTCAATTAAGTGACACTGATTAATATATTTATTAATTTATTATAAATAAATGTACATAGAATACGTATTTGCTCTTGTTGCAAAAGTTATTGTGCATATGTGAATTGTAATTTAGTTCCACTGCAGTTCCTTCGTGAGATCAATTCATCAACTTTCATGATGTTGTTCCATAACATCTAGATTTTTTCCGCTGGGAATAAACGGGATTGGTTACATTAATCATTGATCGAGGTGAGAATTTTTAGCAATAGAAACACATCACTATCTCCGACGGTACAAGGTCGGTCTTTTGAGGCGCCAAGGAAGAACAATTTTTCAAAACAGACCTCTTTAGAGTTTTATTTTTTAAAATCGACCGGTTTTTTTTATTTATCAAAACCGACCCGATTTTGTGATTAGCAGCCTAATCACCATCCTAAATAGTCGGGGTTGCCAACCCCGACTATTTAGGATGGTATTAAACCCTAATTAGAGGCCTTAAACACTAAAAATTAAGGTCCTAAATAGTCGGGGTTGCCAACCCCGACTATTTAGGAAGGTAATTAGCCGGTTAATCACAAAATCAGGTCGGTTTTGATAAATAAAAAAAACCGGTCGATTTTGAAAAAAAAAACTCTAAATGAGACTGTTTTGAAAAATTGTTGGCGAAGGAATCGTATACGTGGGTTATCCTCCAACTCCAAGGGTCTCATCATTAATTTTTTAACATCATCATTAAAATAGTACTTTGCAATATTTCCACCCAACTATGAAGTCTTTTATATATTAGAGCCATAAAAAATACGTCCAGAAAGAGGCAAGTTTATCATCACTTGGTATTAGACTTGGGAGGTAATGATAAAGTTATTCTTGTACCTGACAAGTATAATTATCTGGTCAAGACGACATCAAATCTTTAATCAAGTTAAAATGAATTATGTTTAAGTTAATTTCAATTTTTTCTGATAAAAAACAAAAGCGAGCATAACTGTTTAATTGTGAGCATCGCTACATTCATCTTTAACATTTTTAATAGTGAAAAATTTATGTAACTACTTTTTATAGCTTCATGTGCTCCTAATTTGTTTAGATATTATTAAGAGATATAATTCAAAATATAGAAATCTACATATGTAAAAATGAAAATAATATTTAGATTATGAAGAATGAATTAATTTTCTAACTGTAAAATTTAAATAATATTTCAAAGTTATTGAAAATTTTTGTTGTACATGTAATTATAGAAAACCTTAAGGAGTTATAAGCAATTTGTTATATAACTATTGAAAACTTTGACTTTGGATGTAATTATAGCAAATCTTGAGGAATTATTTATAATATCTAATAATTAAAACCCTACGATTAGTATATTTCATTTATAAAGTTTGCAAGGATTAATTTGTAAATTTATAAAATTCAGGAATTTTTAGTACATCTGTGAACTTTCAAGGTCTTTCTTCAAAGTTTAGGGTTTATTCTATGAATTATGAACACTTAGTGTTGATTCTGCCAATTTTAGTTTTTGTTTTGTCAATTTATAATTTTCTAGTGTTTTAATAAAATTAAGGTTTTTATGTAGAAAATCACAATTTTTAGAAGTATGTTGGATTTTTTTTTGCAAATTGTGTACATCTTGGATTTTCTGTAACATCTGCAACTTTTGCAAGTATTTTGTTTTTTTGGGTTATGTGCACTTTTGTGCAAAATATGGAATTTATGGAAGTCTTTAGAAATTTGTGAATTTTTAGAACTTTTCGTCAAAAGCTGCAAATTCTACAAGTCCTTTGGGTATTAGTGAATTTTTTAAGTTGGTGGTAATATCTATAAAATCTACAAATTAGTGAAGCTTGTACGTTCTTTATGTAAAGTTAATGTTTTTAGGGCTTTATTGAAAATTTTGGTTTGGGGTTTAATTACAGCAAAAGTTTAGGAGTATTTCGTAATTTTCTCATTATTAAATTTCTACGCTAATAAAATTTTTATTAGGATTGGAAAGTTTCAAGGGATTAATTTGCGAATTCATAAAGTTTGAAGGCTTATTTGTTAAAAATTTGAAACTCAAGGTTCTTATCTGCAAAATTATGTCTTTATTTTATAAAATTATGATGATTCAAGGTTGTTTCTATATTTTCAATTTATGTAATTTCCCAAACTTCTTGCGGTTTCATAAAATTGTGGAATTTCCTGCTAAAATTTGCAATTTTCTTCTTCAAATTTTTTGGTTTTTTACCAATTTTTTGAGTTCGAAAGTTTTCTGCCAAACATTTTTTGGAACTCCTTTTTTATTTTTAGTAAGTTCTTTGGACTTTTAATTTTCTGAGCTTTGAATTCTTGAAAAGTTTGTAATTTCGTGGACTTTTCTCAAAATGTTAGAATCTATAGATTTTGGTAAACTTTTGTAAATAAAGGGTTTCACCTATAAAATTTAGGCTTTATTCTGTAAAATTATGAAGCTTTACGGTTGTTTTTTCATAAAAAAATTGTTATGTAAAATTCGCAAGCTTATGGTGCTTTTATAAATCTGGGAAGTTTCATATTAATCTTTGTAATTTGGAAGTCTTTTAGATTTTGTACAAATGTTATACCTTTAAGATTTTTTTTTTGCAAATCTGCAATTTCTAGATGTGTTTTGGGATCTTTGAGTTCCATGGACTTTAATGTAAAATATTCAATTTATGAAAGTTATTAAATACTTTTGTGAAATTTCTAATTTCATGGACTTTTTTTGCAAAATATGCAAATAGCAAGGCTTCTTGGTACTTCTACAAATTTACGTATGCTGAATACTTCTCTATGACAATTAACAAATTTGTGAATGCTCTAGGTTTTATATGCCAATTTGCATATTCATGAGGCTTCTTAAGTTTATTTTTCTTTATTAAAACATTGTTTTCTCTTAAGAGGGGTTCAATCTTAGGTTTGGCCTAGACAATACTTTGGTTTATTTTTTTTAAAAAAATTACAAAGTTAAAGCAGGTTTTAATTTAGCTTTCTTTCTTGGATAATTTAGCTTTCTTTATTGGATTATTTAGACATTCGTTTTTCAAATCTTCATCAATTCTACAACACTCATTTGAATCTTTGAAATTGCTCATAGGTTCGTCAAATCTCAAGGGCTCTTGCAAAGTGGTCCCTCAATGACCAAGATTACCCTCAACATGACTGAAATTACCCTCTAACTTATATTTCCCGCTAAAGGTCATGAAGATAAAAAAATAAACATCAGGTGGGGGTATTTTCAAGGCTCCTAATGATTTATGGAACATATGAGCAATTACAAAGATTTGATGGACAATACATATATAAACTTAGCCCTCCAACACAAAAGCTAACTCTAAAGACTAATCATACCGAAACCCCTTTCTTCAAACTATTATCCATCGCAAGCCAAAAGGGAAAAAAAAAATCAAAAAAGAAAAAGAGAAAATTGTGTCAAGGCCTCACTAACGGGAAGCCCATGTGACCTGGCCCTCTGTATTTTGAGCTTTGTGTTTCAGCCCCAAATACATGTTGTATTTGTGTCAAGTCCCCAAAATTTCTGCCATGTAAGCAGAGAGAGAAAAAGCCCACTTGAAATTACAAACAAACCCTCTAAAGTGAACGGACTTGGTAATCGCGCCCATCCCAAACTTAAGTACTCTCTCTCGCCCTCTCTCTTCTCCACTGTTCAGGAACCATCGAAGATTCCCACACTCCAGTTCTCCTATCGCGAATTTCAACTTAGGGTTAGGTTTTTCGCCATAAATATTTCGCTAAAGGAAGCATCGGTTCAAGATTTTGAAGTCGTTCGTCGCGGCTGTGAAAGACGGTAAAAAAAAATGAAGCCAAATCATCTTCGTCGGTTGTCCGACGTGAGCGAAGTGGTGATCACACGGTTTCCTCGAGTGATGATGATTGTGCCTCTTCTAGCTATATTGAATACCATTAATCATTTAGGAATGGAAGTACAGAGGAAGAGTCGAATGCCCTTTTGGTCATGCAAATGGGTGAAGTACGAGGTCGAGGCAATAAAAGAAGACTAGCAGGGGATGGTTCCAACCCCAGAAAGAAGTAAGTGCTGGGTTTTTTAATTAACCTGAGTACTCTCAAATACATGTACATGATTTAAACTGAAGTTAATGTTATGTAAACTAATTTTCATGTTATCTAAACTTTAGGTTCATGTTAATTCTAATCCTATACATGAGAATTAAGCTGAGTTTCATGTTATTTAAAAT